ATATTTTGCTCGCAATCTATTTACACAAGCTCTGACAGACGACTCAAAGAGAATATTACGCCAATCTCAATTACATTGGAGCATTATGATCAGTTAGAGCCAGTTATCTACTCATGGAAAGAAGAAAGCAAGCCTAAGCTTGGTCTGATCGCACAAGACGCAATGAAAGTGTGTGGAGAAATGGTCAGCATTATGCCAAACGAAAATATGAAAGCAGAAGGCGACAATGATTGGAAGTATATCAATATACTCTTGATTACTCTCAACTTGGCGCATTGAATGCTGCTGCTATCAAACTTCTAATTAATGAACTTAATGAGTTAGAAAAAAATTACGCAAACAACGTTCCGTTTAGATAAAGATTCCATCGAGCCAGCCTTTTAATTCAGCTTTGAACTGATTCATAGCATCTCGTTTCATTTTATGCTTTCTTGGCGGTTTAGGAGCATTGCCTTCAAAATATTCTTTGCCTTTGCGTTGCTCAACAGCTTCGCCAAACCTGTGTCGGATACTTTCGTACAAGTTATTTGCAAATGAGCTTTTGTAGCTGTTGATATCGTCAGTATATACTTTTTATTTATCCCAGCATTCAACTTGCGTAATCTCTTCTCTTCTTTTATTTCTTCGTCATCACTGCTTTCAACATCCGAGTCTTGAAAGAGTTGTCGAGTAGTCGAGAATTCTTCCTCAGCTCGTTTAGCAGCTTTTTTGCTGCTCGTTTGTCCGTGGAAGATTTATTTGGGGGAGTTGCGGCTCGTTTTCGTTTCAGAAGTTTCTCTGATTCTTTCATGATTTCATCAGCAAATTTTTCAGCCATTTCTTGACACCTTCGCATTGAATCCTCTCTTCTAAGCTCTCTTCGTTTGTTAAGATAATTTCGAACGTGGTCATCCACCACCTGTTTCAAAGTCTTTTTCCCCTTAATATATGCTCGAGTATTGGTGGCCTTTTGAGCAACGTCGTGTATGCCGCTATAGAAATCGTCGGGTGATTCTTCAGGTGCAGTGGGCTCTTCCATATCGAAGTCTGCGTCAGTTGATTGTGGAACGTATATATGCTTCTTTTTACTTGCTTTAGGAGCCTCATGTGCTTCACCTTTGATAATTTCAGGAGGCCCTTTGGGACCTTTGAGTAGTTTTTTTGTGTGATCTGACCATACTCATAATCACGATTCTTCGCCATCACTTGCTGAAACAAATTCGCAAGTGAATCAGCACTTGCATCATCCAACGACTCGTTTTGAATTAGAGCCTTCGGCTTTTTGCCTTGAGCAAAATCGCTCTTTGCCATGGCATTGTAATAGCGATCATATGCCTTTTGCTTGGTCTGATTATCGGAGAAAAAGCCACTCCTGATTGATTTTGATTAGCCACGTATATTGAAGATGATTAAAAAATGTGGTTATATACAATTACATTACGATGTTGTCAAGATCAGCCTTGAACAGGACCTTGTGAAACCGTACCCATAGCCGTATCGACTGTGACTACAACCTCACGCAATACGTGGTAATAAATGGTGAGAGCGTAGTTGCAGTTGGAAGTACCAGACACGATAATACTCTTGCTTGCACCATCTTCACTTGGAAGACGACAACCAATATCAACAGCAACAAATCGATAAAGTAATTCCCATTGACGCTGAGATAGCAAACCGGCCGAGACAACATCATCAAGACCACCATCACAGCCTGACTTTGACATCTCTTGCACGAACAAATCATATCCGAAACTCACGGGGTTGTTCCAGATAGGGTGGTTTCCCACTGTGATCTGAAGATTTTTCAATGCAGCAAATGGACTTGTCGTAGCAGGTACAGTCGAAAATGGACTACGGAAGGGATTAATCATATCTGAT